ATTCCCCCCCCCACCCCCATAATATCTCTTCTAGGAGTGAATTTCTCTTCTGAGAGGTAGATTTCTCTCATTTCCTGGTATCTCACCCCTGTTCCTAACTATGAGTCATTTGTAAGTTGAATGCTTGTAACTCAGGGACTGCCTGTAATTACAAATTGTTTGGCCTGAAGGAAGGAAAAAATGTCAAAATTAACTAATAAAATACATTGTGAGAGGAATTGTGAAAAAGAAATCAAGTGTGTATTCTGTGCTAGGCATAGCGGCGTCACACTCTTGCTATTTGTATGCAAACATGGCTTCAGTTTTACAGCAGTGTGTGGCCCAAGACAATTCACCTTCCTACATGGCCCAGGGGAGCCAAAAGATTGAATACGCATAACTTAGTGACTGGACCACAGTTAGAAAATTGAATCAGTTGAAAAGCGGAGCTCAGTTTTTGATTTAGCTTGCAACTGCAAGACTAAACACTAGATGGTGCCAATTCAACTGAGAGAGAGGAACCCCCCTGTGCCAAAAAAGCAGCAGCAGGGGTCAAAAAAGCAAAGCAAGGTGCAAAATATGTAGATCATAGCTATGATATAGATCTGTCAAAACAACCAAACTTCCAAAAAAAAGTTGATTAAAATCAGGGGATGCCTGTAACACTCTATCCATTTATGGATGAACTAGTTGCAACATATAAGAAGTGGCCAAAAGAAGATCTGAATGAGAGGCACAATTTGGACTACCGGCTGTTAGGAATTGTGGGAGTTGAAGTCCAAAACACCTGGAGGGCCCAAGTTTGCTCATGCCTTAGTGAAAACATTTTTTTTTCAAAGATTAAACAAATCAATCGAAATATTAGCTGGAAACGGTAATCACAGTTATGACCAGTAGTAATGCACTCAATCTCAAGTTATCAGGCAGCAGACTGACAATAATGGTGCAGTCGGTGGAGCCACTGTACAATTTATTCTCCTGGATGCAAAGCGCCAGCATGATCTCACCATGTCCCTCCAGGGTCTTTTAGCACTCTATATATGGTGCAGGTGTCTATCACCTCATTGTTTTGTCTGAAGAGCTGCTGGAGAGTAAGTCCCTAATTGAGTAGATGCACAAGCACCAGGCGGGCCCCACAAAGGTGCCTTTCCACTTGAAGATCTGCTGGGGGTCGTATGAGAACAGGATCCCCATGTTCAGCCAAGCATTTTTATGAAACAACTCGTCATTGAGCATGGTGATGTCTGAATGTATTCTCGAAGGCTTTCATGGCCGGAATCATTGGGTGGTTGTGAGTTTTTAGGGCTGTATGGCCATGTTCCTGAAGCATTATCTCCTAATGTTTCACCTGCATCTATGGCAGGCATCCTTGGAGGATATGAGGTCTGTTGGAAACTAGGAAAATTGGGTTTATATATCTGTGGAATAACGTCCAGGGTGGGAGAAAGAACTCTTGTCTGTTTGAGGTAGGTGTGAATGCTTCAATCGGCCACTTTGATTAGCATTAATGGCCTAGCAGTTTTTAAGGTTTGGCTTCTTACTGCCTGGGGGAATCCTTTGTTGGGAGGTAATTAGCTGTTCTTGATAGTTTCTTGTCTGGAGTTCCCCTGTTTTTGCATGTTGTTCTTCATTTACTGTTATGATTTTGGAGTTTTTTTTAATACTGGTAGCCAGATTTTGTTCATTTTCATGGTTTCTTCCTTTCACATGCTTGTGAATTATCCACATGCTTGTGAATTTCAATGGCTTCTCTGTGTAATCTGACATGGTAGCTGTTACAGCGGTCCAGCATTTCTGTATTCTCAAATAATATTCTGTGTCCAGGTTGGTTCTCTGGAACTTCATCAGGCCTGCACTCAGCTTGCTCTGGTTCTCATCCAGGAATTTGAACTTCAGCTTCAGCTCCAGGTTCTTCTCCAGTTGGTCGATCTTCTCAGAGAGCTTGCCCAGCATGGATCATAGCAAGGTGATCTCCTGGTCCTTCTGTGTTGTAGTTCAGCCAGCTGATGATGATGATGTCGGATTTGGTGGGTGCAGGACCTGATGATTCTGCAGGTGCTCAGACAGAGGGGATGTTGGAACAGGATGGTGTTTCTCCAGTTGAAAGAACGGAGGGGGATTTGCAAATAGATTATGCTTCTCTGTGTGAAAATGAAACTGCTTTGGAAGCTGACAGGCAGAGAAGGGAGGACATGAGTTCACCCAATGAAGGGAAGTTAGGCAGAGAATCAAGGCTGTGGGGGAAGAAATCCAGGTGCAAGCTAAGTCGTGGGAAAGAGAGGTCGAGACAGGCTTCTCAAGGCCAACGGAATGCCTTCATGCACTGTTGTCCTAAATTATGGAAAGGAAGCTGTTAGGTTTCAGATCAAGGAAAGTCGCCAATGGAGTGAGAAACTCCTGCCTTGTTCCTGGTCATGTAATAGATTCAAGCCAAGTTACCTAGTCAAGTTTCGCTACCAGTCTTGGGGGTTTTACTCATGAATTCAAGCTCATGTTTTGTTCCTTGTGTCTTGGATTAATGTCCATGCTTTAACCTCTGCGTTGGAGATTTATCTTTGGCTTTTTGGGATTTCTTCATATATTTGGATTTTTACTCTTTTACTGTGTGTTTTATCAATAAACTCTTCATTACTACATGTGGCTTCCTGGGGAGTGATTGAGCAAGGTGAATTCCTGCTGAGGTGCAACATTCTGGGCCATGGACACCTGTATCTTGTGGAAGCAGTTGTCCTTCTGCTGCAGGAACTCCTTCAGGCCCTCAAATTTACACATCTCCAGGTGGGTCTCATAGGTGTCCTGGTTCCAGATGAAAGTACACCCATATTTAGAATGGAGACACTTGATGTGTTCGCACTCCTTCAGGTCAGCAGACCGACATTTCCAGCCTACTTCCATGAATGATCTCCAAAAACACAGTTGCAAGCAGGAGGACAAACAATTCTTTCTCATAGTAGAGATCAAGGGTTGGAGTTGGATGGAAATGTCTACCTGCTGAATCCCTGTTGCAGAACAAGCTCACCTGTTGCTTACAGTGTTTGCTGCCTGGTACACACAGATGAGGAGAGTCAAGCTAAGAGACTCCATTTAGCTATGCAATTTAGTTATATAACTAAGCAGTGCATGCAAAACAGATAAAAACACTTTGAAGCATTATATATTAAAAACAGCACATGCATAAGATATCCTTCTACCCCAATAAGGCCAGAAATCTGCTTAAATCAGAAGGTCTTTGGGGAATACGTTGTTCCCATTCTGATTAACAATGACCTAAATCCCATTGTTAGTCGACGCTAGACTGGACCCAGTAGAGTTAATTAAACCTATGTGGTTCATCTCATGGGTTTTCTGTAATCAGGATGAACAGCTCCAAATTCATTCCAATTGAGACTGAGGATTTTGCCCAACCTGTCCATTTCAGTGTCAGGGTTTCAGACCTACCCAGTGTTGGCCGAACTTGCCAGTGACCACAGCTGATCCAAAAGATCTGGCAGGGTTAATTCCACAGCCGGTGTAGTCAATCTATGGGAGGCAAAAAGAATGAGAATTAGTGGGGATAGAAAGGTTGCAGGTTTGAATCCGGGGAGCAGCATGAGCTACCGCTGTCAGCCCCAGCTTCTGTCAACCTAACAGTTTGAAAACATGCAAATGTGAGTAGATCAATAAGTATCACTTCGGTGAGAAGCTAACAGCACTCCATGGAGTCATGCCGGCCACATGACCTTGGAGGTGTCTATGGACAACGTCGGCTCTTCAGCTTAGAAATAGAGATGAGCACCAACCCCCAGAGTTGGACACGCTGGACTTAATGTCAGGGTAAAACTTTACCTTTACCTAAGGATGATTTTCCTCAAGAAAAATGAGGAACACTTCATTCATACTTGCAAATTGATTGTTAGCTAATATCTTGAAGAGAAGTGCAGAAAATTATATTATTGTTATATTATTTATTGGCACAATTGAGGGGTTTGTTTTGTTTTTTTCATGTCAGGATTGACTTGAGAAACTGTCGCTTCTGGTGTGAGAGAACTTGCCATCTGCAAGGACGTTGCCCAGGGGATGCCCTGATGTTTTGATGTTTTTACCATCCTTGTGGGAGGCTTTTCTCATGCCCCTACATGGGGAGCTGGAGCTGACAGAGGGAGCTCAACCCACTCTCCCCAGATTCGAACTGTTGACCTGTCAGTCAGCAATCCTGCTGGTACAAGAGTTTAACCCATTGCAAGACTGGGGACAATATGAGTGGATAAATAGGTACAGCTCTAAGCGGGGAAGTAGTAAAAGGTGGAATGTCCAGGGTAGGAGAAAGAACTCTTGTCTGTTTGAGGTAGATCTGAATGTAGCTCTAAAATCATAACAGTAAATCAAAAACAACACTCAAAAACAGGGGAATTCCAGACAAGAAATAATCAGGGCCAGCTAATCACCTCCCAACAAATGATTTCCCCAGGCAGTAAGAAACGAGACCTTGAAAACTGCTAGGCCATTAAATGCTAATCAAGGTGGACAATTGGTACATTCACACCTTCCTCCAACAGACAAGAGTTCTTTCTCCCACCCTGGACATTCCACAGATATATAAACCCTATTTTCCTAGTTTCCAACAGACTTACAACCTCTGATGATGCCTGCCATGGGTGCAGGTGAAACGTCAGGAGAGAATGCTTCTGGAACATGGCCATATGGCCCGGAAAACACACAATAACCCGATGATGATGATGATGATGATGATGGTGGTGGTGGTGGTGGTGATGATGATGATAACAACAACAATTAACATTGACAAAATCATGATCTGTCAACTGCAAAAGGCCACCTTACTTGGATCTGCCCGCATCATTCGAAAATACATCACAGTCCTCGACGCTTGGGAAATGTCCGACTTGTGATTTTGTGATGCAAAAACCAGCATATAGATCCTGTTTGCTGTGACATACTGTGGTTTTGTGTCAGTAAAATAATAGTAGTAACAACAACAACAACTTATTTATAGTCTGCCCTTCTCCCCTCAGGGAGAACGGAGTGGATTACAGCATATAAACAGAGAAAAGCAAACATTCAGTGCTGTGTTACAGTGAAATGCAATGAGACACACAAACAAAGACAAAGGCTTCTCCTTTCATTTCCTGCTCTTGGGGAGGTGCTGATTTCCATTTCCCCGCTGAGGAGTCTGCGTTGTCCGTAGACACCTCCCAATCATGTGGCCAGCATGACTGCGTGGAGTTACTTTTTGCCTTTCCTGATGAGGTGGTACCTATTGATTTACTCACATTTGCATGTTTTCAAACTGCCAGGTTGGCAGGAACTAGGGCTAAGAGCAGGACCTCATCCCGACCTGTGGATTCGAACTACCAACCTTCAGGTCAGGTCAGGAAATGGAGATGAGCACCTTCCCCAGAGATGGAGATGAGCACAGCCTCCAGAGCCAGAAATGAAAGGAGAAGCCTTTGCCTTTGTCTGTGTATTTGCGTTTCATTGCATTTCACTGTAACAAGGCATTGAATGTTTGCCTGTGTCTGTTTATATGCTATAATCTGCTCTGAGTCCCCTTGGGGAGAAAGGCAGAATATAAATTTGTTGTTGTTGTTGTTGTTGTTGTTGTTGTTGTTTTTGTATGGGCCACATTTTATTCCTGCTTTGTCTGGAGCTCTGTCTATCTTTTAACTTTCATAATATGGGAAAGTGTGTCTTGGTCTCCCAGGCAGAGTCTATACTTACTGCAAGAAGATGCCCCAGGGCTACAGAAAGTCCAATGGCCAGTGGGGCCGATCCGGAGACGTCGGTCCTCCTCCTGTCCGTTGTGGCCAAAACACAGAGAACCAGTTGTAGGGTGGCAATGATCTCAATGCCAAGGCCTTGTCCTGAATTAATTCCTTCCGCCAGCTGGAGAAAAAGAGACAAAGACATGGTAAGTCATTTCCTTCTGCAACAACCAAGCAAAAGAGGATCTCACAAATTCCAACATGATCCATAGATGTTTGTTTTAGGGTGAACTAAATGATCAAATGTCTGCAAGTCAAACCCTTTGAAGAGCAGTGTATGTATGGCTTGGAGAAGGGAGGGAACATGAAGATATATTGAAGAAGGGCCAGGTTTGTGTTCAACTTCAGCTCTCCCTCCAGGTGCTTTGAACTTCAACTCCCACAATTCCTAACAGCCAGTAGGCCATTAAGAATTGTGGGAGTTGAAGTCCAAAACACCTAGAGGGCAGCCGAAATTTGCCCATGCTTACTCTAGAGCAGTGGTTCCCAACCTGTGGGTCCCCAGGTGTTTTAGCCTACAACTCCCGGGAATCCCAGCCAGTTTACCAGCTATTAGGATTTCTGGGAGTTGAAAGCCAAAACATCTGGAGACCCACAAGTTGAGAACCACTCCTTAGAGGCTAGGACATGGAACAATGTATTCAAATTGTAGTAAAATAGATGCCATCACTAAGAACTTACTGATGGATAGAGCTGTTCAGTAGTGCAATGTGTTGCCTTGGGATGTGGTGGAGTGTCCTACTTTGGAAGCTTTTAAAGACAGACTGAATGGCCATCTGTTGGGAGTGCTGGGATTGTAGATTCCTGCATAGCAGAATGGGGTTGGACTAGATGTCCCTAGTAGTCTTTTCCTACACTATGGTTGCTTTGAGTTTTTCAGGCTGCATGGCCATGTTACAGTAGCATTCTCTCCTGACATTTCACCTGTATCTGTGGCTGGCATCTTCAGAGGTTCTGTTGGCAGTGAATCAATTATTGTGTGTGTGTGTGTGTGTGTGTGTGTGGGGCCACCTGGTGACACAGCAGGTTAAACCACTGAGCTGCTGAACTTTCTGACCAAAAGGTTGATGGTTCAAATCTAGGGAACGGGGTGAGATCCCGCTGTAAGCCCCAGCTTCTGCCAACCTGTGTATATATCTGTGGAATGTCCACTAGATGACTCTAGTAGTCTTTTCCTACACTATGGTTCTATGCTTCAATTATTTTAAAGGATTACATCATATATCAGGTTACTTTGAGTTTTTCAGGCTGTATGGCCATGTTATAGTAGCATTTTCTCCTGAAATTTCATTTGCATCTGTGGTTGGCATCTTCAGAAGTTCTGTTTGCAGTGAAGCAAGTTGTGTGTGTATGTGTGTGTGTGTATAGGGCCCCCTGGTGGCACAGTAGGCTAAACCACTGAGCTGCTGAACTTTCTGACCAAAAGGTTGACAGTTCAAATCTAGGGAATGGGGTGAGCTCCCACTGTAAGCCCCAGCTTCTGTCAACCTGTGTATATATCTGTGG